TAATAAAACAAGAAGGAAACCCACGATTATCTGATAATTAACTAATTTTTACTTGGTTATTCGCGAGGGGTGCGCCACATTGTTCCAATCCGGGTGTTGTGAGTGAGTGTGGGATGGATGCCTGGCGCGGGATTACCACCGGTGCTATTTTGTCTGGGCTTCATTGCTTGGGTGTTACCGCTGGGTCGATTCGGGCACGGTACTCTGGTTCGGGACAGGCTCGGTATTATTATAACGCATTGTTGCACGGTACGGCACCCGACACCGAGCGGTATGATAATAGTGCAAGCGGCGGTAAATCAGAGCGTTTCTTCGGAACCGGCATTGGAACGCTTGCTGGAACGGCACTAGTATGGGACTATTATCGCAACGGCATTGGCATGGACGCTGACGCAGATTGGCACAACTATTGGCTCGGCATCGACACAAACTGGAACAGTATATGACTATTTGACCTTGGTATTTGATGGTCCGGCGCTCTGATTTGTTTTAGGGCTGCTGCAGTTCACAGTTCGCTGCGTTGATAGTAGCACAACACTGAAACAGAGTACTACAGCCTGCGCTGTTCTTTTTGGGGTTCGGAGATAGAAAAAGGGGCAGGCGCGTTGCCTGTGACGTTGCGCAGTTGGCTACTTACACAGTCCAAGGACGGCAGGCCATGGCCCAGACCTGCTGGGTTTAGAAATTGGTCACTGGTTTGTCGTTGGAACAGCTACCGCAATGGACCAGGGCGCGATGACCGGGCCTGGATTGACGAGAGCAAGAAATTTTCTGGGCCTAGAGCATTGGGGTTGTAGGGACTGCGACGCGGACCGAGTCGAAGCAGGGCAGTTGGCCACAGACAATGGATATAAGGGAAGTAAACGGGTACCAAGGGGCGTTTTGGAGAATGCGTGCCAGGCGTACCCAGCATTCCGGAAGTCGACTAGAGGCGAACAGGCAGAGAGAGCAAGCACAGGCAGAATCGGCGCTCCGGCCGTTACTCCGCCCGTGCGAAGAGTGAACGGGGACATGTTGTTGACATAGGGGCGAGAAGGGATGAAGAGAGTGCGCTGCCAGATAAAGAATGCTCTGGCAGAAAGAGAGGGAGAAGTCAGAAGGAGAGAACGCACCGGTAGGCGGACAGAGAGTTTTGCGGGCAAGTCTAGCACGGAGAGAGGCGTGCACAGTATAGGGGAGAAGAATAGATTGCTGCTGAGAATAGCCCCTGTGAGCGGGCCAGCGAAAGTTCTTTTCCGGATCTGACGAGAATAGCCTATGTGAGCAGGCTAATCAAAGTCCGCCTGTTGATCTGCTGAGAATAGCCCCTGCGAGCGGGCCAGCCAAAGTTATTTTCCGGATCTGACGAGAATAGTCTGTGTGAGAAGGCTAATCAAAGTCCACCTGTTGATCTGCTGAGAATAGCTCCTGCGAGCGGGCCAGCCAAAGTTCTTTTCCGGATCTGACGAGAATAGCCTGTGTGAGCAGGCTAATCAAAGTCCACTTGTTGATCTGCTGAGAATAACCCCAGCGAGCGGGCCAGCCAAAGTTCTTTTCTGGATCTGACAAGAATAGCCTGTGTGAGCATGCTAATCAAAGTGCACCTGTTGATCTGCTGAGAATGGCCGCTGTGAATGGGCCAGTCGAAGTTTTTTTCCGGATCTGACGAGAATAGCCTGTGTGAGCAGGCTAATCAAAGTCCGCTTGTTGATCTGCTGAGAATAGCCCCTGTGAGCGGGCCAGCCAAAGTTCTTTTCCGGATCTGACGAGAATATTCTGTGTGAGCAGGCTAATCAAAGCCCGCCTGTTGATCTGCTGAGAATAGCCCCTGCGAGCGGGCCAGCCAAAGTTTTTTTCCGGATCTGACGAGGATAACCTGTGTGAGCAGGCTAATCAAAGTCCACTTGCTGATCTGTTGAGAATAACCCCTGTGAGCGGGCCAGCCAAAGTTCTTTTCCGGATCTGAC